AAGGAGGCCAATTTCTTTGGCAGGTCTGATGTCCTGAAGAGGAGGAGGGGGCAGCCCAGTTGGCAGCAGGAGGTTGAGTGGGAAGTGTTGGGGCAGAATGGTTTTAGAGAAGAATCTCAAATCCCTGCCCTGCCTCTGTACCCTTGGGCAAATGGCTTCACCTTTGTCAGCCTCAGGTTTTTCATCTGTGAAATGACCAACCTGCCGTACCCACTTATGAGGCCATAACAGGGACTAATAATATAATCCAAATAGAACCTCCAGCACAGTGCCTAGACTACTTCTTTATCTCCCACCTCCTTCTCCCTCTGTCTGCATGGTCCAGAGCTTGGTTTCTTTATCTGCATTCAAGGAGCCTCCCTCTGCTTGGGAGTATGAGGCAGCAGCCCCTCAAGGCTGGGAATCTTGGCATATCTGTTGTGCCTTAAAACTGCCCTGAGTACTAAGAGACAAACTCTGTGTTTCAGACACCATCACCCCCACCCCTCATTTGTAGCTGTACTTTGTTTGGGTAGGTGAGACACATGAACATGAATCAAGAATCTCTCCATAGGCTGGGCACAGTGGCTCATGCCTGTAATCCCAGGACTTGGGAAGGCTGAAGCAGTAGGACTGCTTGAGACCAGGAGTTTGAGACCAGCCTGAACAGCATAGACCCCCATCTCTACAAAAAAATTTAAAAATTATCTGGGCGTGGTGACATATACCTGTAGTCACAGCTATTCAGGAGGCTGACATGGGAGGACCAATTAAGGCCACAGTGAACCGTGATCATGCCACTGCACTCCAGCCAGTACCTAAGAGATCCTGTCTCTAAGAAAAAAAAGACACACTCCATCAAGATGCCCTCTAAATGTCAATGGTGTGTGAGGGGCTATAGTATCCTAGAGGTGTCCTGTAGGATTTGAGAGTCTGGATGTCAGAAGCCTGAGATTGCTCAGGGAAGGCTTAGAATGGGGTATTTTAGAGACCTGAAAGATGTAAGATGGTCCTGGCCCAAGGAGGTAACAGTGAACTTTGGGGGAGACTGTCTTGGAGAAACTCAGGCAGTCGCTGGCCCTGGGTTTAAGAGAACAGTGACCAGGGTTCTGCAGTCTGGAGAGGATTGCTATGTACATGGAGTTCTGGGTCAAGTGCAGACCCCAGCGTGTGGGGGACTGAGTGGCTGTAGACTTTCTTATTCCCCCTTTACCTAGGCCATGCAGCCTCTACTTGAGGCTGTAGGGCAGTACCCCACCTGACCTCCCTGCCCTTTGCCCCCCTGCCAGCAACGCTCAGTATATCGTCAGTGGCTCTGACGATGGCTCCTTCTTCATCTGGGAAAAGGAGACGACCAACCTAGTCCGTGTGCTCCAAGGAGATGAGTCCATTGTCAACTGCCTGCAGCCACACCCCAGCTACTGCTTCCTGGCCACCAGTGGCATCGATCCTGTTGTGCGGCTCTGGAACCCCCGACCAGAGGTGAGGGTGCAGGCATGGTGGACAAAGCCAAGCAGAGAGGTGGGCAGGGACTCTGTGGAAAGCCTCCAGTGGAGCCTGCTAGGGCTTGGAAGAGAAATGAGGAAGCTGCTAAGAAGAGTAAGCTGTTCCCCTGGGGCCCAAGGCTGTGTCCTCAGGTTCTGGAAGCTCCAAATGCAGTGGCAGTTCACCAGAAGCTGTGCAGAGGCCCTGGTCACAAGGGAACTATGCGGGCTTTGGCATCCAGTGGGCCTAAGTTTGAATCCAGTCTGCTCACTCACTGCTGAGAGACTTCACCATCTCTGACCCAGGCTTTTAATCATCTGTAGATTGGGAATGGGAATTACAGCACTGCCTTGAAAGGTTGTGGTGAGGAGTAAAGAAGTGATGCCTGTGAAGTGTCCAGCCCACAAGGACACTTAGAACAGTGTAGTCCCCTCCACTCCCAGTGCGGGTGACCAGGGAAGCTGGCTTGGTGCCTCCCCTTCCCCTCTGCCCTATTGCCTCCCTCTTACCAACCAGCAAAACAAAAGTCAAGTGGTATGCCTGATTCCCAAGATAATTTGCTGTGACTTTTAAAGAGAGGACCCCTATAGGATTCCCCCTTGAGGGGAGAGGAGAAAGAAAGATGAAGGAAGAGTTGTTGAGGCAACAAAACAGAAGGGGGTGGGGAAGTTGTATGCGCCCTTTGCCCCAGGTATCCCAGTATGTGTGTCCAATATATTCTGGTGTATACTGTCCCACATGTATATCCCAGCACGTTATGAGCTGCCTGTATATCCTGATGTGGCATGTCCCCCCACATATATTCCACTGTGAGCACCAACAATATGTAACCAAGATTGTGTGTTCCCCTCCACTCATATACACCTCCTTGAATGTACATGTACCTCCCCCAGTAGATAGTTTAGTCTGGGTATTTCCCTCCCCCGACCCTATGCATGTATCCTGGTGTCTCCCCTTCCTTGAGCCCCACATGTGTTGCCCCTTTCTCCACCACAGAGTGAAGACCTCACAGGCCGAGTCGTGGAAGATATGGAGGGTGCTTCGCAGGCCAACCAGCGACGCATGAATGCAGACCCGTTGGAGGTGATGCTGCTCAACATGGGCTACCGGATCACGGGCCTGAGCAGTGGGGGTGCCGGGGCCTCTGATGATGAGGACAGCTCTGAGGGCCAGGTGCAGTGCCGGCCCAGCTAGACCCTCCAGCTCTGGTCTCCAACCCCTGCTACTGGCTGGACCCTCCGCCCTGGGCAGGAGGTCAGGGGGTTCTGTTTTGATTTGTCTTCCCCATCCCCCATTTTTTCATTTCCCCTGTTTTGTTTGTTAGTTTGGCATTGGGGGTGGAGGTTGCTACAACTTGCTGGCTTTCAGACTCTTGGGCTGATTGTCCCCTGACTATCCCCAGCCCTGAGTTAAAGAGCAGGAGGGGACACCTTTCCATATGCCCCCCCCCACCTCCTGCTTCCATGTCCCTGGAGGGCTCTCGCCTGCCTCAAAACCCCTTCTGCCTCAGGTGGGGAGGAACAAGCTGAACTGTCTTCAGGGACTGTCCTGCCCTTCAGCTGGCAGCAGGAGAGGGAGTGGGATTCCCAGTTGGTAAGGGCTCACCTTGGCCTGTTGCCACTCTTGCTCCCTAGCCTGCAAGGCTAGCTCCCCTGTGGTCTTCAGGAAAGGTTTTGAAAAAGGATGGGTCCCACCCTCCCTCCAGAGCCACCAGTGTTAGAGAGGAAGCAAAAGGAAGGATGGGAGCCCTGGAGTAGGCAAGACCAGGCCACCTGCTGAGGTCACAGTGGAGCAGCCTCGCTCCTCTCCTGGCTGCTAGCTCTGGCCCTGCACCTACTCACTGGCCACCTCTGGGGGCTCTGCCTTTCCCAAGGGCCCTGGCAGAGGGTGGGGCACTGTACCCTACCCCACCCATCCATGCCAGCACTTCTGCACTACGGCCATTCTCCTCTTGGGCGCTCCTCAGCCTCACTGTGACCTTTCTGCCAGAGCTCCCAGCCAGGCCTACTCTGCTGAGGTGGCGCTTCCTGCTAAGGGCCCTTCTCTGCCCTTTCTGCCCTCCTTCCCACCCGTATGCTGAGCCGCCACAAAGACCAAAGAAGTGATGGCTTTTCTCTGTCCCCTGCTGCTCTGAGGGTAGAGGGGTGGGTCTCCTGAGCCACTCAGATTGGAAAGTCCCTTACTCAGCCCCTCCCTTCCTCCCCAGCAGCCCCAAGCTTTACACTGGATGCAGCGATCAACCCACCACTCACCAGGCCTCCCTCCCCTCTGCCCCCTGGCTGTTAGCTCCAGCTGCTCCAAGTAGTTGGTTCGTCCTTCCTTCTCTCTCCCTCCCTGCTTCCCCTCAGTGCTTACTTGGCTCCAGCCCTCCAGCTGCAGCCCCTGGGGAAAAGCAACCTCCCTTCTCCTCTCCCTCTACTCCCTCCCTCCCTCCCTCAGCCCCTGTCTCTGCCAGGTGCCTCCTCTCAGTCAGGCTTCAGAGCAGCCCTAGAGACAGGAGGGCCATGTTAAAAGCTTTTTCACAGTTTTACGAAGACAAGGGGAGGGTGAGGATAGTGGTGGGGGGTCTGGCACCATCTCATTGCTTTAATCCCAGCAACACAGGTGGCAGCCTCTCCCCCTTCCTTCCCACCCCAGTCCCTCTTCTCACCCCTCTCCTCTAGCTTGGTAATGAAGTATATTTATTGGTGAAGGAAACAGCTGCTGCTGCTTCTCCTGCTGCTGGGACTTGCTCCCCTGTCTCTTCTCTGTGACCTTTCTCTAGCCAGGGAGGGGAAAGCAGGAGTATTGGGGCTGGGCCCTGGGGCCCATGGACCAGCTGGGTCCCCTTTGCTTTCTTGTGTTCCAGCCACCTGCCATTTCCTCCCTGCCTCCCACCCCCCCCTCCCTGCCTCCTGTCCTGCCTCCCACCCCCCCTGCCTGCCCAGTCTGGGCCCTGCAGTATGGAGAGACACATAAGCCTTACTGTCCTCTGGGGGCAGGAGCCGAGCCTTTTTGTTGCTCTGCTCCCAGGAGAGTGAGGGTGACGCAATTGATTAAAACCATTTTGTTCTAGGTGTGGCTGGTGGCATTTGTGGGGTACAGATGGGTCTTGGAATCAAAGTGAGGGCACCTGGGCATATGACTTTGAGTAACCACACCTCTACTTGGCAGAGTGAGGCCAGCCTTGAAGGGTCACTGTGAGCAATGGCCACCCAGCCCAGCAGGGCAGAGTGCAGAGCCCAGCTCTCATGGCTGTGATTTGTAATCATCAGCTTTCACTCTCCAGCTGTTTTCTCATCAGTAAAATAAGGGGCTTGGAGTCTTAGTGGTTTTTCAAACCATTTTACATTGTGACCTAATATACACATGCTTACTTGTGTGTATATATATATATATATATATGTGTGTGTGTGTGTAAAATGAACAAGTTTTACACAATAATATTTACCCTTGCTACATGCAATGTGCTCTGCTTACTTTTCTGTTTTATTAGGGAAAAAAATACTGGTTGTAATCCACTAAATTGATTTCATATATGCAGTTTTTTGATATGCCCTGGATTAGATGATCTCTTAGACTAGAGGTTCCGGAACTTTCTTAGCTCACAGCATCATTACCATCTCAGTAGTTTTTTCATGGAACCTCTAGGCCAAAAGAAATACCTAACAGGCCGGGCGCGGTGGCTCACGCCTGTAATCCCAGCACTTTGGGAGGCCGAGGCGGGTGGATCACGAGGTCAACAGATCGAGACCATCCTGGTCAACACGGTGAAACCCCGTCTCTACTAAAAATACAAAAAATTAGCTGGGCATGGTGGCGCGTGCCTGTAATCCCAGCTACTCAGGAGGCTGAGGCAGGAGAATTGCCTGAACCCAGGAGGCGGAGGTTGCGGTGAGCCGAGATCGCGCCATTGCACTCCAGCCTGGGTAACAAGAGCGAAACTCCGTCTCAAAAAAAAAAAAAAAAAAAGAAATACCTAACAGTTCAATTTATTAAGTAATTAAGCCCAAATCACTTAAAAATATTTATGTTCTAACAAATTAGTTGCCATTTAAAAAATACACCTAAATTGGAAGAAACAATATTTTTTCCTTTTTTTTTTTTTTTTGAGATGGAGTCTTGCTCTGTTGCTCAGGCTGGAGTGCAGTGGCGTGATCTGGGCTCACTGCAACCTCCGCCTCCTGGGTTCAAGAGATTCTCCTGCCTCAGCCTCCCAAGTAGCTGGGATTATAGACACATGCTACCACGCCCTGCTAATTTTTTTTTTTTTTTTTTTTTTTTTTTAGTACAGATGGGGTTTCACCATGTTGGCCAGGCTGGTCTTGAACTCCTGACCTCAGGTGATCTACCCGCCTCAGCCTCCCAAAGGGCTGGAATTACAAGCATGAGCCACTGCACCTGGCCTTCATTCTTAAATAACTGCAATTACTAATGGGATCTATGCCGCCCATTGTACACTGAACAACTTGTTAAATTTTCTAATCAAAGCAGACACTGCCACCTTCATTTCCTGTCCCACATTGAATTTCATTTGCTTTTTATCACAACAACCACTAAAAACCCAGCTTCTTAAAGATGACATAATCAAAAGGATTGTAGCATAATCTAATAATGGAACTATGAACTACCTTGAGCTAGCAGTTCTCTCATTAACCAAAGATGTTGAGTATCTCTCAAAACATCCTACTTTGCCCCCTGTGAATTTGCTCTGGGTGCCCTCAGGTACCTTGATGCACAGTTTGGGAACTGGGGTTTAGTCTGTGGGAATAGTAGTTTCACTACTGAAACTACTGAGAGGTCCTGCCAGAAACTCAGTAGGTGGTATTATAAAGCAGGTACTGTGGGCTGGTATCATTCCTCTGTGTACCCAAATTAAAGTCTGCAGAATCTTCTTGAAGGCATTTCCAGACCTGGCAAAGGAGGGACAATGTTCGGACCAGAGAGTAATGCAGAGTCTCAGGTTCCTTCATGAACCTTGAGTGATTCCATTTGGCTGGATTATAGAGGGTAGACTGGAGGGGCAGTCAAATTGCGAAGGACTTCTTGTGCCTGGTGAGAGACCATAGACTTGATCCTGTAGGCAAAGGGGACACTGGAAGACATTACCAAGGGCTCCTTTTCATTTGGAGTTGGTACTCCATTTTTCAAAAAAATTAATAGCCTTTACTTTTTAGAGCAGACTTAGGCTTACAGAAAATTGAGCAGATAGTATAGTGAGTTTCATATACCCCTCTTTTCCCATCTCAATTTTCCCTGTTATTAACATCTTGCATTAGTGTGTTATTTGTTACAATTAATGAACCAATATTGATATGATAACTAAAGTCCATAGTTTACATTAGGGTTCACTCTTTGTGGTTTTAACAAATGCATAATGTCTTGTATCCACCATTACATTGTCATACAGAATAGTTTCACTGTTCTAAAAGCACCTTGTCCTCTACCTATTCAGCCCTCATTAGCATCCCCCCAAAAAATTACTTAGAAATAACTCTAACAACGTATATACAAGGTTTGTGTGAGCAAAACTATAAAACTGATAAACCAAGGAAGATCAAATAAATGAAGAGATGGTCCATGTTCACAGATAGGAAGACTCAGTATTAGAATGTCAGTTCTTTTCAACTTGATCTATAGCTTCCATGTGATCCTGGTCATAGTCCCGGCAAGTTATTTTGTGAATATCACCAACTGATTCTAAAGTTTACATGAAAATGTAGAAGACCCAGAATAGTTCCACGGATCACACCTCCTGCTGCTTCTGGTGCGGTTTGTGTGCTCATTCATTCTGTGCAGACCTGGTACCTCATTTGTGAAGCAACAGCTGAGGAGACTCCAGCACTCGCTATGGCCAATGAAAAGCCCAAGGAGGGAATCAAGACTGAGAACAACAATCATTAATTTGAAGGTAATAGGGCAGGATGGTTCTGTGGTGCAGTTTAAGATTAAGAGTCTTATACTGGCTGGGTGCAGTGGCTCACGCCTATAATCCCAGCACTTTGGGAGGCCAAGGTGGGGGGATCACCTGAGGGCAGGAGTTCAAGGCCGACCTGACCAACACCGTCTCTACTAAAAATACAAAAAGTAGCCTGGCGTGGTGGTATGTGCCTGTAGTCTCAGCTACTCGGGAGGCTGAGACAGGAAAATCGCTTGAACCCAGGAGGCAGAGGTTGCAGTGAGCCTAGACTGGGCCACTGCACTCCAGCCTGGGTGACAGAACGAGACTCCATCTCAAGAAAAAAAAAGTCATATACCACTTAGTAGAATAATGAAAGCCTATTGTGAGTGACAGAGTTGTCAGTGAGGCAGATCAGATTCTAGTTTGACAGGCAACCAGTCCATGAAACAGACACACCTGCACAGCTGGAAATGGAGGATGAAGATACAATTGATGTGTTTCAGCAGCAGACAAGAAGTATCTGCTGAAAAAGGAACCTGCTTCTTTACTCTAGAACTTTGTTCTTAGACCAAGATTACATTCTCAATTAGAAAACTGCAATTTGGTTCCGCCACATTATGACTATTACTATAGTATAGTTTTCTCTATTCTTTTATTTTTCCGTTACCCGTTCCTTCATTGTACATAGTAACAGGTGTATGTGCACAAGCATATTGCTTTTTGTAATATTAAATGGCCAAGTGGCCACTTGATTGACATCAAGTGGATGTCAATCAAAACATACCCATGGGGAAAAATACTGATTCTATGAAAATTACCTCCCTTTCTCCATCAGTGGCATGCTCATTCAACTCTTTTCTTTATATTTCAATAAGTTATTCTGCTCTCACTATTTTAACAAAAAAAAATCCTTGCATTTTTTGTTGTTAAAATAGAGTAAAATAAGCTTATTCAATTGGAGAATTTTAATGTTTTTCATTTATCATTGTAAAACCACAGACAATTTTATAACTTTTTTTTTTGTATATAGCTCTTACATGTAGGGCAATCTGTCTTTAAGTAGGGATAAATTACTCTTTAAAAAAAATCCTAAATAGTTTTCCCTTCAAGTCAAGCATCTTGTTGTTTAATAAACTTCTTATTAAAAATGGAGGAAAAAAGCTGGGCACAGTGGCTCATGCCTGTAATCCCAGCACTTTGGGAGGCTGAGGTGGGCGGATCATGAGGTCAAGAGATCGAAACCATCCTGGCCAACATGGTGAAACCTTGTTTCTATTTTTAAAAATACAAAAATTAGCTGGGCGCGGTGGCACACGCCTGTAGTCCCAGCTACTCGGGAGGCTGAGACAGGAGAATTGCTTGAATCCGGGAGGTGGAGGTTGCAGTGAGCCGAGATTGCGCCATTGCACCCCAGCCTGGTGCCTGGTGACAGAGCAAGAGTTTGTCTCAAAAAAAAAAAATCGAGAAAAAGAAGAAAGACCTAGAATACCCAACATAATACTTAACAAAAAAACAAATTCAGAGGATTAACACTGCTGACTTCAAGGCTTACTATAAAGCTACAATAATCAAGACAGTGTGGTATTGGCAAAAGAATAAACAAATAGAACCCAGGAGTAGACCCACACAAATACAGTCAACTGATCTTTGACAAGGCAGTAAAGTCAATTCAATGGAGAAAGGATAGTCTTAACAGTGATGGAACAATTGGACATCCACATGCAAAAAAAATCTAAACACTGAATTAACACTGTTTATAAAAGTTAAAACAGGTGACAGACCTACATTTAAAATTCAAAACTATGAAACTTCTAGAAGATAACATAGGAAAACAATCCAATTTGATCGATAGCTTTAACATAATCCCAGTTGTAGTCCCAGCCACTTCTTTTTGTTGGGTTTAGCTATGAGTTTTTAGATACGACACCAAAACCTCAATCCATGAAAGAAAAAATTGGTAAATTGGACTTCATTAAAATAAAAAAAGACACGGTGGAGAGAATGAAAAGAAAAACCAAGGAATGAGAGAAAATATTTGCAAAACACAGATAAAGGATTTGTATCCAAAATACAGAAAGAATTCTTAAAACTCAACAATATGGAAACAACCCAATTTTAAAATGGGCAAAAGATCTGAACACCTCACCAAAGATGATTTACAGGTGACTAATAAGCATATGAAAAGATTTTTAACATGTCATTAGGGAATTACAAATTAAAACAGTGAGATACCATTGCACATTGCACACTTACTAGGATGGCTAAAATGTTAAACCAAAAAACTGTCCACAGTAAATGCTGACAAGGATGTAGAGCAACAGGAACTTTCATTCATTGCTGGAGGAAATGCAAAACGGTACATCCACCTTGGAAGACAGTTTGGCAGTTTCTTACAAAGCTAAACATACTCTTACCACAAAATGCCACAGTCACTCTCCTTGTATTTACCTAAAGGAGTTGAAAACATGACCATGTAAAAACCTGTACATGACTGTTTATAGCAGCTTTATTCATGATTGCCAAAAACTAGAAGATGCCCCTCAAAAGGTGAATGGAGGCCAGGTGCAGTGGCTCACACCTATAATCCCAGCACTTTAGGAGGCTGAGGCACATAGATCACTTGAGATCAGGAGGTCGAGACTAGCCTGGCCAACATGGTGAAACCCCATCTCTACTAAAAATACAGAGAGTAGCCAGGTGTGGTGGTGTGTGCCTGCTATCCTAGCTACTTGGGAAGCCGAGGCAGGAGAATCGCTTGAACCTGGGAGGCAGAGGTTGCAGTGAGACTAGATCATGCAGGCTGCACTGCAGCCTGGGCAACAGAGCAAGACTCCATCTCAATTAAAAAAAAAAATGGTGAATGGATAAACTGATGCAGCCATACTATGGAATATTATTCATGATAAAAGGAAATGAGCTATCAAGCCACAAAAAGATAATGGAGGAAACAAATGCCTGTTGCTCTGTGAAAGAAGCCAGACTGAATGGGCTACATCCTGTATGATTCCAACCATATGACTTCCTGGAAAAGGTGAAACTACAGAGACAGCAAAAAGATCAGTAGTGCTCCATTTTTAAAGAGTGTACACATCTGTGACTCATCCACAGCGTTCACCAACCCTCTGATGAGA